TTCTGAGACTTGTCTTCAAAGGAAATCTTATCTCTTGGTATGCTTCGTACTGTCGGGAAATATTAAGGGAGCCAAGATTGGACTCACGCGATGAGCAAAGTGCATAGTGAAATTAAGGAATAATTAGCGATAAGCTTGTTTGGTTTTGTGCGATTTATTCTGTTCATGGAACAGGTCAAATGTACATCTACTGATAAAAGGGTATCTCTAAGAACCAACATGAACTTAAATTACTACAAGAGTTAATTTTTAGATTTAAATCATTGGTTTTATAAATGTTGAAGATACTGTTACGTACAAAAACGTAGTGAAAGATAAAGTGATTTCTCAAATAACATTTACTTTGATCTCGCTCTTAACAAAAGGTCGTGTAAAGGGAGAATTGTTGAACCTTTAAATAAAGGGTCTTTGTAAACATAAATTGGCCACGGGCCTTCCACTCGGGAAGTGCACTGTATTCGGTACAAAGGTCACGGGAAATCCCCCAAATAATGATTGCGGAATTAAATCGCTTTCCTCGAGGGAGACGTAACAATTTTCGTTAATTTAACTGGGAAGGATAGGGTCGTTCGAAGAAACGGGTAAATAGCCAGGTATCAAGTACGACACTCGGCTTCTTTAAAGTACAGAAATGATTGGCCTTTGATTAATCCTTCGCAATGCCTGGCAATTCGAGAGGACTGTCAGGACTTCTCAAATATAGATGTTGCTAAAAGAAAATTTAATATTTCAAACACTATATGAAATTCAATAAAAAAATTGATAAATGTTCAAACATTAAATGAAACTTAATAAAAAAATTTATCAATGTTTTAACATTAAGTGAAATTCAATAAAAAAATTGATCTGTGTCCAAACTTTAAATGAGGTTCAATAAAAAAATTGATCAATGTTCAAACATTAAATGAAATTCAATAAAAAACTTTATCAATGTTCAAACATTGAATGAAGTTCAATGAAAAAATTGATAAATGTAAAAATTTGAAAATTTCTAAGTTGTGAATGCAGAAGATGCACACATAAGAAATATCATTTTTCACGTCGTCAAAAACTGCCGATCGAGTATAACACGTAGATTCGAGCACATAACGGAAAGTTTCCTCTGGGCTTTGTGCATTCCCGCCAGTGGATGTGATTAAATATCGATCGACGTGGGTGAAATAAGGCTGTCCGTGTAAATAATTTGGTTGAAAGTACTATGAGCATAATTGAAACGCGTCAAGTCAACGATAGTATCGGAAAGGTTACAAAAGAGAGGTTCGAAATCGACCAATATGTGCTGGGTATAATTGTTAATCCGATATCGGTTAATCGATAAAGGGGCGAGGGTAACCAGCTGCGGGCAATATAGCAGAGAGTACAGGAACCTCGATGAATCGTCGATATATTGCTTTCCGCCATTTTTCGAAGAACGTGTCAACATGCAAAGCCATGACGAGAATGATCACGTTCGAGTTGAACGAAACAACTATCGTGTACGAAGTAATTGAACTACCCTCAATTGCCATTGGGCTGTCTATGACAGCTCTCGATTGGCCATTTTAGTAAATTCAATAAAACTTTTGTGTCCCAACGCTCGTATGGAATCTGTGTTAGCAAAGTGCATTCCCCATTTTTGCGCGCTTTTCCTCTCTCTCTCTTTTCGTTCCAACATTCACCTCGTTTCTAGCTCAAACTTTCAATAGCACCACGATAAAATAATCCCGCGTCCCTGAAAATCATTTCGAGCTCGGAAGTACTAGAGTTTTCCAAGATTTTTCGGAAATGTTCCAAACTTCGATTTTAGCGACGTACCGTCCTGGGACGGGTTATTTTTCAACAGAGAAGAGTGATAAAATGGAAGTGGAGTTTTTGGAGATATTAGGGAAAAAGACTCTTGTGATATCGATGGGCTATTACACGAATATTGTGTTCTACGTAGATTTATAATTGCATTTTATAAGTTTGTTTGCTTTGAGTCTGAAAGAGTTAATTCCAATGTTCTTGGATTCTTATATTCCTACATCACATATGATTATGTCACCTATCTCTACATCCCTTGTCCCTACATGTCGTATAGCTACGTTCCATATTCCTATGTCCGATGTCACAATGTCCAATATCCCTACGTGCCATATACCTATGTCCCACATGCTTACATCCCATATCCATACATCCCATGTACCATGTATGTTCCATATCCTTGCGTCCCATATTCCTATGTTCCACATCACTATGTCCCATATCCCTACGTTCCTTACTCCTACGTCCCATATTCCTACGTCCCACGTCCTTACATCCCATATCCCTACATGCTATACTACACATATGTCCCATATGCTTATGTCCCGTATCACTATGTCCCATATCCTTACGTCCCTTACTCCTCCGTCCCATATTCCTACGTCCCACATCCTTACATCCCAAATCCCTACATGCTATACTACACATATGTCCCATATGCTTATGTCCCGTATCACTATGTCCCATATCCTTACGTCCCTTACTCCTCCGTCCCATATTCCTACGTCCCACATCCTTACATCCCAAATCCCTACATGCTATACTACACATATGTCCCATATGCTTATGTCCCGTATCACTATGTCCCATATCCTTACGTCCCTTACTCCTCCGTCCCATATTCCTACGTCCCACATTCTTATATCCCATATCCCTACATGCTATACTACACATACGTCCCATATGCTTATGTCCCGTATCACTATGTCCCATATCCTTACGTCCCTTACTCCTACGTCCCATATTCCTACGTCCCACATCCTTACATCCCATATCCCTACATGCTATACTACACATACGTCCCATATGCTTATGTCCCGTATCACTATGTCCCATATCCTTACGTCCCTTACTCCTCCGTCCCATATTCCTACGTCCCACATTCTTATATCCCATATCCCTACATGCTATACTACACATACGTCCCATATGCTTATGTCCCGTATCACTATGTCCCATATCCCTACGTTCCTTACTCCTACATCCCATATTCCTACGTCCCACATCCTTACATCCCAAATCCCTACATCCTATGCTATACCTACGTCCCATATGACTATGTTCCTCATCCCTACGTCCCCCTACATCCCATACCCCTACACCCCACACCCTACACTCCATATCTCTACATTCCACATCCCTACCTTTCATATCTCCACATCTCATATCACTCCATCCACGCATTCTCACACCCCATATCGCTACATCGCCACATCCACATATCCTCACGTCCCCACAGTATCTCCACAACTCCGAATCTCCATATCGCATCGCAAAATGTGACCACGCAAAACAGCAAGCCCGTATAACAAGTTCTGTATAAACACAGGCATTTTCCCCATAAAGCAAGCGATCAATATAGACGTTATGGACTCGTTATACCAAAACGGTGAAAGAGAATATTTATTTTTCAGTTTTAATTAACGAAGGTAACACGAGAGCCAATATTTTGTTGCAGTTATCAGAGTTGTAACTTGATTAGTAACCCTGTGTAATACGTTTCGCGTAATTGACCAACAAATGAACAAACACGTTCGAGAGGTCCCTGGAACTTTTGAACGTATGAAGTGGTATTCATGCACAAAGTAATTTTCAGCCTTTCCTGGTCGGATAATCCATCGCTAGTAGGAACACGAAATCCGATGTAGAAGGAAAATGGTTACATAATCCAACTTGTGTTATCGAGCTTAAGCCATCGATTTGTCCTTACAACTATTACCCTTCGCGCCCTCAGTTACTCTAATTTCATCCCTTTCTATGGTGTCTTTTACCTCATTCTTTGTTATATCATTCCTTATTATACACTTGACTCTTTTGTTCAAAATATCTGTTCAATGCCGAATGATACTTTTGATAAATTTACACACTATCTTTTAAAGAAAATATTACACAAACAAAGAATAAGTTTTACTACAAAGGTTAAGTTCAGATCTCGAACTTATTTAGATTTCCTCCATTTAGATCTCCAAAGAAAGTAAACGAATCGCACGAAATGGCCGGACATCGAAGCGTTAGATACGTTTTCATTCCAATTTCTTCGGAAACAAAGCGTGGAGCGCCATGTTGTATTCATACTTTCGTTCGCAATATCTCGGAACGTTCTCCTCCGTCCTGAGTTTCACCGAGCAGTCTGACGCGATCGCCTTTTTACTTTTATCCCACTTACCACGGTTGTTACCCTCTTATCCCGCACACTTTCCACCGGTTTCCTGTTGGTACCGCGGAATCCCGGCTTTTCATGCGCGAATATCGTCAACACGATCTGCGAAATCGGCGACGCTGACCGTACTCCAGCTTCTGATCGTAAAGGTAAAAGACCAACGAAATCTCGCCGAGGATGTCACAAGGGGAAAACTTATTTCCACCTACACGGTAACATTTCCGCCATGATAACGCCACCCTGCTTTCTGTCTATTCGATCTTGTTCCTTTAACCGATTCGCCAACGCTCTCGATGCTTATCTTCCCAACGAGATCCAGGATTTTCGTCAGCTTCCTTTCATATTACTGCACTTCTTTCTTCGATGTGAACACATTTGGAAATTCTAGTTTTTGGAGAAAGAAAAGGAACCTACGGATTTTGGGGATTTGGGCATTTGAATTTAAACAATATGAATCTTGAGTTTTATGAAAATTGGGAAATTTGGAGGGGTTGGAAATGGAAGTTGATCAGCTGAACTTTGTGGGTGTACCAGAAGACTCCATGTGTTTAGATTTTCCTGACAACTTTCATAAGAAAGTGATAGGTCTTCTTTGAATTATCCTTGAATGCTCTCTGAACTGTTTCTAAATTTTGCCCCATTAATTTTAATATATAATAAATATAGAAAACATAATATCAGAAGAAATACTTGATCAATTTTATGCCACCTAAAATTTATTATACCTCTTCATAATACCATAAATCATAAAAGCTTCGACACTGATTCAGCTCCCAAATTTTATTTCCAAGTTTCTACGGATACGTGGATTTTGATCGTCGACCATTTTCTATTTCAGGTGACGGTGAGAGACGACGGGAGGCCTTCGTTGTCGTCGACAACTCGCGTGGTGATCGCGGTGGCAGACATAAACGACCACGGACCAGAATTCGAGCAAAAATTCTACACCGTTCAAATCCCAGCCTCTCCATCCACCGACAAGCCTCTATTCCAGGTAAGAAGCTTTCGTTTTCACTCGATCTCCGTAATTCTATCCGACCTTCTAGTTAAATTAGGACATGGCACTTTCTTCGATCCTTCGATGTAAATGGAGAAACAAGACCGTTTTCTGGTCCGTTTCATTTTCCCGTTGTCTCTTTGTACACCAAGTAGAAGTAATACCCCCGTATCTTGCTGTATATATTATCCATTCGCTCGTGAAGAAAACGACCCGACCCGCGAAACGAGTGTACTTACGTATAGCCGCATCAACGGGGTTGGTGCGTGAGTCGAGTAATCGAAACTTCGACGTGTTCGTGCTATTTGTTTTTGTCGAACATGTGTAGGAGATATAAAAGTATCTATGGCAATCCTCTTTTCAAACTCTTAACGCTTCGACTTACGCACTCGCTTCGTTTCAGCTGATCGCTGACTCGATCAAAATGGAGTCTATCCCTATGAATTGCCGTGTTTCGTTCTATTAACTTCTCGATGCCAAATGGTCCGAACGAGCGAGTGATCAGCATCTTTCTCATACTGTCTATACGAAGTTGTCTTTACGACAGATCTTTGCAATTCCTATACACGAACGTTTGTTCCTAATTTCTTGGAGCCAACACATTCGAGACTGATATTTAAGGATGTTATATAAAGAATATTCTTATATCTCCACCTCAAACATCTCAAACATCCTATGATGTTTAGGTCCCAACTATCACACAGTACCAAAAAAATCAGCAAGTGGGGGACGTGCACAAAGGTCTCGAATGTGTTAATTTCTGTACGCCTCCAAAGTCCACGAGTGTCGAGGTGTAGGAAGAAAAGAGTGTGATACATGTATAGCTACAGATAAAGGACAGATTGCTTGCGACACCCTGCTCGCTTGGTGGTTATCGAACGTGTTCTTCTCCCTTCGAGTCGCCTCTTGTTCTCGATGTGATCAAAGTAACCCGGACCCAGGCCGCTGACTATCGCAGCGTAAAAGGGTAGAGATTTAGCGCACGAACACCCTCGCACCGGATCCACCCGCAACCCTGTAGTTCTTCGGATTTACGAGCGAGTGGTACACCGGTTACATGACGCGTTTTCACGCGTCGTCGACTTTGGGATTCCAGCGACGGAAATCGTGGTTAACGAGTACCCTTTGTAACGAGCTCCCTTCTACCTATCCCTCGAAGAATCGATTCTGGCCTCGATTTCAATTTTTTCGGAGTTGTTTACATGTAAGACTCGGACTGAAAGTTACTTTTTGTTACAGCTTCTTTTCTGTCGATTTCTAATTAATTTCTTATTTCGTTGTTTGACTTCTTATTACGTTATTTGATTTCTTATTACATTATTTGATTTCTTATTACATTATTTGATTTCTTATTTCGTTATTTGATTTGTTATTACATTATTTGATTTCTTATTTGATCTCTTGTTAGAACTTCTTTATTTCTTATTTCATTTTGTGTTAGATGTCGGAGAGTTATTTCGATGAAACAGTTGCTTTTATCGATAATTGCTTTCAACCATCAGCTTACAACCATAACCTCTCGTTTTCATTAATTTCGAATTTATTCGATCAGTTAAACCGCGCAAGCTTTATGATCAGACCGTGAAATTGATTGTAAATAGATTCATACTATTAGGTGTACACGTATTTTGACGTAGTCAAATATTTGCGACACCGGCAAAAGCGCCGGAGGAAATAAGGTAGTGAACGATGGTGTTGATGGGTGGAGGCAGATACAGGAGTCCCGTTAATCCCAACGTCAATAGTAATAATAACTCTTGCACAATATACCTGCAATATTTAATATAATTCCCCATCAGTGTTGAATTTCATCGAGGCCAGATTCGATTTCACCGGATATCGTGTTACGCTTGTTCGGTCCCGTATTTTCGGTCGATGAATTCTGTGTTGTAAAACGCGATACAGTTTATCGCGTAAACTTCCCGGAAAAATATCGCGAGTGTCAGAAAATAAAACCCTTGAAAAGTTCGTTAATTTCCAAGAAAAACGTCACGAGAGCTGCGAAGAAAACGTGAGAACGAAAAAGGGGTGCGTTAGGGGTGGCTTTGATCAGAAAATTCAATTTGTTCGACGGTAAAACGATTTGTAGAACTGTTTAACCGGTTTGATTGCGGAGGGTGGTAAAATGTGGCTAATTTCGGTAACGAAGAGACGGGAAGAATTTCTTTGTGACATTAGTCTGCGCTGGAGAGGTTAGTGCGTCGAGTACGATTATTTCATTCTTACGTATTCGTTCTACATTTTTTGTCACATTTTGGTTATATAATTAATAATTTTTTGTGAGATACAAATCTTGTAAATTGACATAAATTCATATTTTCAAAATTCTAAATTTTTTTCATTTTCAAATATTCAATGTTCTGTATTTTTAAATTTCCAAATTCCTCCACATGAAGATTGTTGAATTTCTAATTTGTAGCATCGATGATTTTGGTCTAATTTTATTCCTTACAACCGAAGTGTTACCAAGAAATTTTTGTTCTTCACTCAACAAAATCAGTCATTTTCTACGATAATCCTTGAAAAGAGTGACACCATCGAAGAATCTAAATCTCGAGCAATTTTCCTGTTATAAATCGCCAAATCGAAACCTCTCTGAACGAGACGTAAAAGATCACGGTGTAGTTCAAAAGCAAATTATCGGAAATAATGCGAAAGTTAAAAGGCTTCCTTCTCTCGTTCTCGACAGAAATCGAAGAACCGATCGCGGGAGTACGACCTTTCGATCGATACGTTACTAGAAAATGGAACTTGGGAGACATTTAGCCCCGACACCTTGTCAGGAGATCGTATATTCAGGGTAAGGACACGCTGGCACGTAAACTACAAACGCAAGAAAAAAAGACTACTAAAAAAAATATAAACGTCCAATGACGTTGGAAGCATAACAAATTCTTACGCAAATTGCGGAGTTGGTCTCGGGTAGTTTACGCGAGCTCCCTCTTGTGCATTCATTGATTTATGACCCGCTTTTATTTTCGACTGTGTACCTTTCGTTATGATTATGATGCCGCATTTTCATGCAACCCCGCTGTGCCCGTTCTTTTTTTTCTTCAATAGGACACGCATTTCGTCTACTTCCGTTTTTTTAATCGATCGTCTTTTTATCCTTGGCCCGTTGCAACCCTTTTTTATTTTCTCAATCCACGTTGAACGCGATACGAATCTGAGCGAACCCCGTGAAACATTGGAACGGTACGTTTTCAATGAACAGCCGAGCTTGGTTGCTTGGTAGGTTGAAGGGTGGTAATTGAGGCTCGTTCGTAGCTGTCCAGGGATTTGGGTCGAGAGCGGAATTTATCTCCCCGAGTTATTAAGTATCAAGTGCCTACTGGCTTCTTAATTGCATTCAGGGTTCAATGCTCTTTCCAGTGGATACGAAAGAACCTGATATGCCCCGTGTTCGAAGGAAAGCTCAGCGGTTTAATTGTCTACCGAGAAGCTTTTAGCTGCACGTTAGGCTAAGTGTAAACGTAACATTTCACCTTTTGAATTATCTTTTCTAACTACAAAACTTTTTTAACATCCTGTACAGTAGAATTTTACTGCATTTCGGAAGGTGCAGTTCCACGCGTTGGAATACCACGCGTAGGACTACCATGCGTTCGACTAGCTCGCGGTGGACTACCACGCGTTAGAATACCACGCATCGAATTACGTACGCGTCGAATTATCTACGCGTTGAATTACCACGCGTCGAATTATCTACGCGTTGAATTACCACGCATGGAATTACCTACGCGCCGAATTATCACGCATCGAATTACCTACGCGCCGAACTACCACGTACCGAATTACCTACGCGTCGAACTACCACGTACCGAATTATCTACGCGTTGAATTACCACGCATGGAATTACCTACGCGCCGAATTATCACGCATCGAATTACCTACGCGCCGAACTACCACGCATCGAATTACCTACGCGCCGAACTACCACGTACCGAATTACCTACGCGCCGAATTATCACGCATCGAATTACCTACGCGCCAAACAACTACGTATCAAATTATTTTAAAGTGCAATAAACGGAAGTGCGATTTTTCACGTATCGAATTACCTACGCTCCGAACTACCACATATCGAATTACCTACGCGCCAAATTATCACGCATCGAATTATCTACGCGCCGAACTACCACGTACCGAATTACCTACGCGCCGAATTATCACGCATCGAATTACCTACGCTCCGAACTACCACGTATCGAATTACCTACGCGCCGAACTACCATGTACCGAATTATCTACGCGTTGAATTACCACGCATGGAATTACCTACGCGCCGAACCACCACGTACCGAATTACCTACGCGCCGAATTATCACGCATCGAATTACCTACGCGCCAAACAACTACGTATCAAATTATTTTAAAGTGCAATAAACGGAAGTGCGATTTTTAAAGCGCAATAAACTTCGCTCAGATTCGTATCTCAATCCTTGGCTGCCACCGTTCCTGTGTATGAATTCCTCGCGATCTTTCCGCCGCGTTTTGCCCGTTTTGCTCGTCTCTTTGTACGTGCATATTCTGCTCTGGAATGTTTGCATCTGACTGTACGGAGCTGTCGCCTGATCAGTTTCCGTTTCCTCCTTTGCAACTAATCAAATTGATGCCAGGACTGCTGCATATGAAAGCATGTCGGGAGAAAAGGGAGGAATGCTCGTCACAACAAATTGGAGTTTTCTTTCCCACGAAATTCATTTAAACATATATACGCAGTAATTGATTGATTGCCACAAAACAAGTTATTGAAATTCTCATTGGGCAATGTTTTTAATTCAAACAAACATTATTCAGTATCTCCATAATCATCTAAAAATATTTCTAATGGGAAATGAACATTCTGAATTTCTAATAATTCGATGAGAATTTAATATCGAAGTGGCAATCCACTCTTACAGTTTCTATATGAAAGTCAAAACCTAATGACCTAAAAATTCACCCGTCGCGAAACTCGTGGGTCAGAAAACTCGAGCCGATAATGAGCGCTAGCACACGTGGAAAATGTGTACGTAGCAAACAGCGCATGCAAAGGAAGAAAAAATGGCTCGTGGCATTTAATGAATCGGCGACGATACATTTTTCCGCGCAAATCCGCTTGCCATCGGCTCAGAACGTTCGATCAACCTGCCACAGAAGGCGTGGTGGCCTGTGTTTAATGCGCTTTAATGCAGATCGATATTTGACAAGTCGAGGGTGGAGGACCGAGGGTTGCTTCCTCCACCGCCACTTTTCTTTTGTTCTCTCCGTATAATTTTTTTTTTGTGTTACTTTGTTTCATGTATCGCCGCATGATGTCGGCTGTATGAATGCCATGCTTCGAGGTTACGAGTGCAACGTTTTACTAGAGTTCAAAGAGAGAACAGTGGGAGAGAAAAGGGCAGGCGGGTTGAACAATTTTACAGCGTGGAAATGTTGTTAGAAAGAATGACATATTTTTCTTTCTCCTATATTGTACTAGATTTCATTCGTCAACTGTCAACGCGGTTTGCTCTTTTTTCGCTTTTTTTCAGACATTCACGTTCGACATTTTCATCGTGTGTAAACACATACAATTTTGAGTACTTTCGTTTTTTTTATTTTCGAGTTCGCGGGCTCTGACGAGTCTTGTACAGAACGGTGCAAAAGTCACGAAGCCAGATTTTTTGTTTTTTTAAAATCAGAGACTCATCGAGATGGACGTATTTTTACAAATATCAAGATGGATGAATCAAAACTATCCAGATGAAAATTCTATAGATGTACTAACATTAATAAACGTAAATAAAATAATAAATATAATTCAAGAAAACAAAAGAAAAATCTTAAAATCCTTGGTGACTTTTGAACGATTCTGTAGAAACTTGTTACTTGCGAATCGAACTTCATTTTCCTTCTCCCTTGTTTAATCTTTTTATATAGCCGCGCACGATACTAATGTGACTTTTGTGTCATGTGTAGGCTGCGTAGAGGAAGACGACTAGTGAACATTGTTTATTTTAATTGTATTCCTGTACGATAGGTACTCGCGAACGATAAAGACATCGGTGATAATGGAAAAATCCAGTATAGCATCAAGGGTGGTCGAGGCAAGGGCAAGTTTAAAATTCACCCCACCACGGGCATGGTGTACTCTCAACGGGGTTTCGAAGCCGGACAAGAATACGAAATGATGGTGAGTAAAAACATAATAAAAGTTGTAATGATTCCAACGCGAACCTTTTGGGATTTTGTGTAATCCTAGTATTTATACAGTAACCGTAGTGTTATTCGATTACCAAATTGCTTGAATTGAAAAAAGTTGAAATTGAAAAAATATCAGAACGAAAGATTGATGGGCGTGTAAATCCTTGTTTCACTTTTCGAATATTAAACGCATCAAAAATGTACGTCATCGAACCGGCTATATAAAACATCGGAATTCTACAGCAGCAGATAAATCAAAAACAGAATAATATTTTCGTGATTTTTCATTTAACAGGAAAATACATGGTTAACAATTAATAACAAGTAATACAGCACCGATTGCCCAATTATTTAAAATGGGAAGAATGATAAATTGAAATCGAGAAAATATTTGCTCCGAAAGACGATAAAAGCTTGAAAACCTGTCTCGCTTTTACTATAAAAAATTTATATCGAATTGTGTGCACTGAAAGTTTATTTAAAATATAAATATTAGGATGAAAACCCGTAGTATTTAAAGAAAAGTCATTCAGTATGTGATGCAGTTAGCAATAATCTGACCTCATGAAGCACGACAGAATTTATAGGACACAATGCTTATAACTTCCCCTAAATTCAACCAACGGTCATAATTCATGGTCGATGCAGCGTGTCCCTTGATACAATTTAACTTTCAGTCTAACTCGGTAACGCGCGTTTCTATTTGTTAGATAAAAGCCGCAGACAGCGGGGAACCACAGCGCAGTCATCAAACACGAGTATCCGTGCAAGTGGTCGAGGTACCAAAGGAATCCGAGAATCCACCGGTCTTCAAGACGAATAATCAAAGAGCCGAGGTTACGGAAAGTGACGAGGTTGGTTTCCTCGTGGCATTGATGCAAGCCACGGACAAAGATGGCGATTCGCTGTGGTACGATATTCTCGGTAAGTCATCCTATTATTAATAAATTAACTTGGACAATGACATTCGTAAAATTAACGAAAGAACAGGTGAAAATCGGTGCCTGACAATATGTGGGAGGCGTAACGGCATAACAAGAGTACACTGTATTAAAATTTATGATTGTACTTTCCTGTACATTAATTTTGATACAAACCGTGGCATAATAAGACGATGCTAATCAAAATTACAGCATGAAGCACCATTTTAATTGAGCGCCCATTTGATGAAGCACCATTTTAATTTGAGAGCACACGTGTTCCTCCCATGTTCCTGTATGTTACGGATACTTGAAAACTCGCTTGATTAATCGCTTCAAGCGGCATATTTAACTGGCAAAATATCGCGCGTTTAATTGGCAAAATATCGGAAGATTTCATTGGAATAGCTTCGAGCGGACCGAAGAGCTGAAAGCACGAGCAACATTTTCCAAGTTAGGAGCATCGGAGTTGGAAAGTTTCTCAGCTGGATCGCGTAGGCAGCAGTTAAACTTTCCGCCGCCAAATGGCTGTTCGAGTTGGAGGCACACTTATGTCTTGTCATTAAAATCGCAAGATTTAGAGGGAAAGAGACGCTACGAGATCTATTCAGACACCAAGAATAATCACGATCAAAGACTTCTGCCTCCTTTTCCCCATGATTCGAATTTTAATGTTCGAAACCTTTCTCTCGATCGATACCATAAGGTGCAATTCTATTCTCGAACAAGTAATAGTAATCGTGTTCGTGCATAACATTCGTACGCTGACAATTCTTCGAACCTTTCCAGCCTCGCTGGTAAACGTGTCGGCGTAGGACAAGCTAATCGAAGCGTAAAATTTCGTTCATTCCAGACGGCGACAAGCGTGACGAATTCTTCATCGGCCGCGACAACGGGAACGTGTTACTGGCGAAAAAGTTGGACTGGGAGACCCAGAACTTCTACAATCTCACGATCGGCGTGACGGATAGCGTGCACACGGCGGTGACGCAGCTGCTGGTCACGGTAATCGATATCAACGATCACAGGCCAGAGTTCACGGAGCACACGTATCGAGTGGACATCTCGGAGAACGTGGAGAAGGGCGAGGTGATTCTGCAATTGCACGCGACCGACGAGGACGAGGACAAGAAGGTGTTCTACAGTCTGCACGCCGCGCAGAACCAGGCTTCCCTGGAAATATTTCACGTGGACTCGGTGACGGGAGCCGTAACGTTGAACGAGGTGCTGGATCGAGAAACCATCGAGGAGCACGTGTTGACGGTGATGGTGAAGGACCAAGGCACTCCGGCCAAACGAAACTACGCCAGGGTGATCGTGACTGTCCACGATCACAACGATCATGCCCCCGAGTTCATCAGCGAGATCATTCAAGGAAAGGTGTTCGAGACGTCTCCCGTCGGCGCAGCGGTGGTCCAAGTCTGGGCCATTGACAGAGATAGAGGAGACAACGCCAAAATCACCTACTCGATCACTTCTGGCAACGTGGGCAACATGTTCTCGATAGATCCTGAACTTGGCGTGATTCGAGTAGCTCGCGAGCTCGACTTGAGCATCTCCTCGGAGTACATACTCCTGGTGAAAGCTACGGACCACGGTTCTCCGGCTCTGACCAACACCGTGCCCGTGCACGTGATGGTCACCATGGCCGACAACGCTCCGCCTCGTTTCATACAGAAAGAGTTATCCGCCGAAATCTACGAGAACCAGCAGCTGGGCACCTACGTGAAGCACGTGGAGGCGAGGAGCACCTCCTCGTTGCAGTTCGAGATCGTGGACGGTAACAAGGACGACACGTTCTTCGTGAACCCCAGCACCGGTATCATAGTGATCAAGAACGAACTGGATTACGAGAAGAGGAAGTTCTACAATCTGACGGTGGCCGCGACCAACATGGCCGGCGCGAAAGCGCAATGCAACGTGATCGTTCACGTGCTGGACCGAAACGACAACGCTCCCAAGTTCCTGCAAGCTACGTACACCGGCGAAATAAGCGAAGGTGCCAGCATAGGCTCGCTGGTGCTCACCAATACCAGCAGCCCGTTGGTCATCAAGGCGGAGGACGCTGACTCGGAATTGAACGCTTTGTTGAACTATGATATCGTGGAGGACCTGCCACGGAAGTATTTCCACATAGACTCGAGCACGGGCGCCATTAGGACCGTGATGGTGTTGGATCACGAGAGCATTCCGAAGTTCACGTTCCACGTGAAGGTATCCGATCTTGGGAAACCGAAACTGTCCTCCGAGACCACCGCCAAAGTGATGATAGTCGTAACGGACGTGAACGATTGCCCACCGAAGTTCCTGGAGAACGACTACAACACCACCCTGCTGTTGCCGACGTACAAGAACGTGGCCGTTGTACGTGTGAACGCCGTGGACCCCGATAGCTCGGAAGGAATAGCGCTCAGGTACAGTTATTGCAAACGTTTTGAATAGCAAACGACGTATCTTCGAGGAGCAGTAAGTCATATCTTCTCCTATCGAAAATATTCTTTCTTGAAGGTCTACACGTATCGGTAACGGACCAGTCTGCTCAGTTGCATAACATCGTTGATCATATTATTTTTTTATTTTTAAATTAATATACTTATACCAATCGTACGTGTAAATTTATTTGTGGAGTATTTCATGTCAGGCGAAGAACTTTCTCCAGGACTACCTCTTCAATTTTTTTGTCATTTTTAACAACGCTGTTTTTCTTCAGGTACGACATCATCGACGGGAACAAAGGACACACATTCGAAATAGACTCGCAAACCGGCGTCATCACGGTCTACAATCCCGAACGCATGAAGAAAAGCTATCTCCTTCGTGTCCGAGTATCCGACGGAAAGTACTCGAGCGTCACCCAAGTGAACGTGGCCGTGGAAAAATCGGAAAATTCGGGGCTGGTGTTCCAGAAGGACATTTACGAGGGAGCCATCCCGGAGAACTCGACGAGGATCGCGACAGTGGCGGTCGTGAATGTCCTCGGCAGCGCCCTCAACGAGCAGATTGTCTTCAGCATCCTGAACCCTACGGACATGTTTGTAATTGGATCCACGTCCGGCGCGATTCGAACGACAGGAATTAGATTCGATCGCGAGGTTTGCGACCATTACGAGCTGATCGTGGAAGCGAAGAGCCAAATACCGGACAGGGAGAAGCCCAGAGTGGCGCACGTGATCGTCAACGTTACGATACTGGACATCAACGACAATTGTCCCATGTTCGTCAATTTGCCCTACTATGCCGTCGTGTCCGTTGACGCACAGAAGGGAGATGTTATTACCAAGGTAAGCCGGTAAATTTAATATTGATCCAACCTTCGACCATTAATCCAGACATTCAATGTTAGACATTGGATGTCGAAACCCAAAATTGAAATTTCCAAATGCGAATATTATTAAGTCTTAAACATTGTATCTTGTACCTTAACTCTCGAATTTTGTATCTCATATCTTGAACCTAGTTCTTGAACCTTGAACCTTCAACCTTGAATCTTGAACCTTGAGAGCTTCACATTTTTTTGAATCATAAATCTTATAACCTTGCATCTACAACCTTAGAAGAAGCAGTATATCTAGAACCTATGATCTCTAATCCTGAATCTGAAATATTAAAAGCATGAATCCTTTTCTGTCCAGGTGCACGCAGTAGACATGGACAGCGGTGACAACGGAGAAGTCAGATACGAGTTGAAGAAGGGTCACGGAGAGTTATTCAAAGTATGTCGAAAAACAGGAGAAATATCGTTGAAGCAGAATCTGGAGGGACACAATCGTGAATATCAACTGACTATCGCCGCGTACGACGGTGGTGAGTGTATACAAGTTCGATAAAATCACTGACACCATTTTCTGAACGACCTTCGACAAGTGTTTGAACATTATTTCAGGCAGCACACCTTGCTCGATCGAGGTTACCGTAAACGTAAAAGTGATAGATCGTTCTATGCCAGTATTTGACAAGCAATTTTATACGGACAGCGTGCTGGAAAGCATCGAAATACACTCGCCCCTAGCTCTATCGATACAGGCTGAATCACCATTGAATCGCAAACTCATATACAGCATAACGAAAGGCAACGATTTCGAAGAATTCGCCCTGGATTTCAACACAGGTAAGCGGAATGTTCGTTTGCGGTTTCAAGCAATTTTCAAATTGTTCCAACGATAAATTGGACATCGAATTGATCCTTTGCGGTGATATTCGAAACGGTGCCCACATGCGAGGCCGCTAAATTTGAAATTTATTGCTGCATAATATATACGATATGAACATTGCCGATAGTATTCCAATACAGAACTCAAATTTAGTGCTTTCAAATGTGAACACTGAGTTAGAGGTGCCTTTCGGTTATATTATTTAATACGATGATTTAACACGTTAAATCTCGCGATGGTAATCGAACGAATCGGAAAGCAACAAGAGAAAAAGAAAATTTCAAACAGCTTCGATATCGTATTAATTAGGCAAAGTAAATGGAAAGTTTAAATTGGAAAATGAAATGATCCAATTTGATATAATCAGTATTATATTAATTTCGCAAGATAACATGTGAAAAGTTTAAATTGGATAATGAAACGACACCATTTTAAATAATTAGTATCGCGTTAATCCGATAAGCTATCAAATCGAAAGTTTAAATTGGAAAACGAGGCGATCGTATTTTACAGAATTATAACGTGCCTTGCGTGCCATTTAACGTGTTAACAAGACGATAACAGCATCGTTAACAGTAACGTAGAATAATGTCGACTACGGGGAACGTGTGTTACATTCGAAATCGATAATACACGATCGAGGAACGTCGTATCTCGATTCTGGTCCCGAATGAAATATCTTCGAAATATTCGACTCCGGGACTCCGGAATTTTCAACTCTTTCATTGTGAAAATTCTATAGAATCTTTTCGATCGAGGAAATTTCGAAAGGAATTCAATGAAAAAGTTAAAACGTGAAAGATTACCGAGTTAACCTCGTGCCCCAACGATCGCGCTTTCTATTTTAACGAATGACATTTTTGGTTCCGCTGTAAATGGTATTCGGTGACTAAATTCTAATGAAATCACGGTGTAGTGGTGAAGACAGTAGCAAAATGTGTGGGGTTATTGGAATGTATCGCACGTGACGCGAGCTGCGAATGATGTTTGTACCGATTATGTACTCGGTCTTAATTAATAACGCGTCGATCAATTATACGCTTCGAATTGATCCTGATCAACGATCAAATTTGTATAGTACGTTTCTCGTTAATTCCCGTCGCGTTTCGACTCGCGTTCGACGGTCTTTTTTTTTCAAATAATCGAGCTCCTCCTCAAATCCGTCTCTCCCATAATAATTATTCTTTACCGAATGCTTTATCTGATTAAACTAGAAATTAAAGTGTTGTTGTATCTCCCTGTTTTCGCAGCCCCCGACAGTAACAATGGCCCTTGTGAGTATAAAAAATACTAGTTCTATCGGTCTGTTGTGTTGCACTGAACGATGCTACTGCACTTGCTGTCTGATTTCATGCACGTTTCGAAAATAACCATCCCTTGCACCCTTCTCTTCTTTTCTCGCACCGTTACGGTGAATCTGTCGCTAACTTTCGAACTCAGATCTAACTACTGCACGATTAGAGGAACATATTTGTTCGAGTAACGAGAACGGAATTTTCAGAACACGATGCTTGCCTAACACCATTTCCTTCGTAACATTTTTCTTTTTATATAATAATTTAACAGCGCCTTAAAAGTGACCCTATTTTACAGCTCTGATACCTATAATGCCCCTCGAACTATAGGATCGAATTGTACCATAAATTATTACCACCAAATAAATCGATTACATGGTATACCGTTCAGATCTCTCGTTCTGAATTACGATGCAATTCGCAATTAAAACAGCGTAGTTAATTGGCAATATTGAGATACAAGAGCATATGTTTCGTAAGACCGAGTCGTATCGTTCTCGGACAACGTATAAGGGAAGTTTCGAAAAAGCGTAACGCTTGAATACACGAGGCTCTCGAAAATGGATGAGCGTTGGAAATTCCGAATCGCAACTCAAACACGAGGAAACCCGTATCATCAGGGGTACTCGAGACTTCCGCTCGCCGCATAGCTTCTGTGATTGCACACCTAACACTCGCGTATCCGGTGCTTTGAGGATCTAACCGCTTGCTAAAGATAATCACGACACCCATCATGCACGATTCCTGGTTAAAGAAAAAAGGCACGATCGAACGGCGATGCAACGTTTTCGGCTTCGTCGCACGTTAATCCTTTCTTCTTTTCTCTCCCTCCGCCTTTCCGTGCACGGAACGCTTTCGTTCGTGCACTTTGCTCTCACTTTTGCTCATCGTTTCCCTTCCAACCAGTAACTCGAACCGGTCCCATTATCTCATAGAAGCAACAACGGAGTGCTGTGTAAAACGGGCTTGGAGCACAGCGTTGCTTTAAACGCGCGGTACGTCGTTACTTCGGAATCACTCTCGGCACAGCAATTTATCTTGAAACGCGTCTCGACGGAGGCTTATCGTCGGCACACCGTTTTGTTCGCTCTTTCTTTCTTTCCTCATCTTTTTTTTTTTTATTTCGTTTTCGCTGTTGTTCGAGATTCTTGCGGCTTCGCTCTGCTCGCATGGCGTGTTTGCACCTTGCGTCGCGAACATCGGCGAAAGAAACTGTACCTGTATCGCACGAAACCAGTTGCGGAGACGGTGCAGGGACGGGTAACAGGTTGACTGCAGATAATTATTGAGATCGTTCGGCTTGAATTTAAATGCACTAGGCCTGTGATGAACGGCGGGAAGGTGCGATACACGGTCGGGCAAATGGCTGGGTCAATTTCTCAATTTGGAACTTCTATATTTCTAAATCTCTCTCTTTCTTAATTTGCAATTTCTTATTACATTTTTTAATTTGCAAAAGAATCTGAACCGCGATGCGTGACAACGCGTGACAAGTCGATGTGTCGATGTACATATGTCATAACTCGTACGAGTGTTAAATCTCGATAAACACGGTCTAACAGTCAGCCTGTCAATCGCTATAGGTACCTCTCGCGACGTCTAAAGGTGCATTCACAATGGTAACATTCGCAAATTCATTCACGGTATCCGATCGTCTTGTACAAACGTGTGTTTACCACGTGACTCGCATTCATCGGTGTTCCTTCTCTGGCGTCCGTGAAACCGAGCAACGATCATGCAAAATGTACCAAAGAAATCATACAAACATAAGCTCATATAAATATAAGATCATACATCATACTAATAAAAAGTCGTCACAAAACCTAAAGACAAGATGTAAAAAGTCTCTCGGTTTCACGTGCTCTGCGCTGCATAGACTGCTTTCGGGTCTACAATCGTCTCTTCAATAAATTAGGTGTAATCTATGTGGTGGATGAGCTGGATTATGAGCAGAAGAAGCAGTACGAGCTAACCGTGAGAGCAACGGACAGCGTGTCCGGGGTGTACGCGGAGGTGCTCGTCAGCATCCTGGTGCTAGACGTGAACGACTGCCCGCCTGAATTCACTCAGGACTCGTACAATATTTCGGTCTCGGAAGCGGCTCCGTTCGGCACTTCCGTGTTAAAAGTCAGTTCCAGGGATAACGACACAGGTGAGCATTTCGCTTTACCATCGATTTTTATCACACTCGAACTCGGTGCAGGACGTGCAAGAAAACTAGCAGTTTTGCTATACGACTGTTGGCGCTCGTACAAGAAACGTTCTTGAGACATTACTTCAAGCAAGCAATAAATAAGTTCTTATCTCAAGAACGTTTCTTGTAATGCCTCAACGTTTCAATTACCGAGGCTGAGATTCATTCCAAACACTTTTCACCCTCGTGACACTGCCAAGTTTAGGATGAATCGAATATGTGGAAAGTTACAATGTCGTTTAACTGGTTTATCTTTGTACAGGCATAAACCAGCAGGTACGTTACGCGATACAGAACGACACAGAGAACAGCACGGATCTGTTTCACATCGATCCCGAGGAGGGTGTAATATTTCTGAAGAGGTCGTTGGACCACGAGGCTCACGAGTCGCATCACTTCACGGTGATCGCCATCGACCGCGGTGTTCCGAGTCTCTCGAGCACCGCTCACGTCTGGGTGACGGTCATCGACATGAACGACAATCCGCCCAAGTTCGAGCAGCCTTCGTACACGTGCTCGTTGTCCGAGCACGCGGAACGGGGTCAATTCGTGACGGTGGTCTCTGCGAGCGATCCGGATTACGTGGACGAGAAGCTTACCTACACGATCGTCGGCGGAAACGAGCAGCAAACGTACAATATCGACCAATCGACCGGCGTCATTACCTTGATCAACATGCAGAACTTCGGCGAGAAGAAACTGACCATGCTGAACGTCTCCGTCACCGACAACGTGTACACCAGTTTCACTCGGGTCAAGATCGAGATATTGCCCGCGAACAGGCACAACCCGAAGTTCCCGAACCCCGTGGTCGAGGTGACGGTGTTGGAGAACCAACTACCGGGTAGACTGGTGACCAGCGTGATCGCGAACGACGAGGATTTCGGCGACTACGGCACGGTTATCTACACCATAGCCTCCGATCTGATGAAGGAGATCTTCGATATAAACAGACTGACCGGCGAAATCGTGACGAGGAAGAAACTGGACCGCGAAGAACAGAAACTGTACGAGATACCGGTAATGGCTACGGACGGGGGTGGCAGGTCGGGCTTCGTGATGGTCAGGGTGAAGGTTGGAGACGAGAACGATAATTCACCGGTATTCCTCTTGAGAGAGTACAAGGCCAGCATATACGGGAATCTGACAGTAAACACGCCGTTCTTGAAGGTGAAGGCTCAGGATGCCGACGAGGACGACGCCGCCAGGATCGTTTATTCGATATACGAGCTTCAGACGTCGGAGGCGAAGGCACTCTTCGGGATTAATCCTGACACTGGGGCACTGTTCTTGCAGAAGAGCGCGATACCTTGGGGTAAGGATTCTTTTTATTTTCTGAAACCACAAATTGACATTTTTTAAGCCCTCCATTTTTAAACCTCTTTTCAACCGATGTCCTATATTTTTCCTGTACCTATTACAGTCTTAACAGCCGCAATTTATTAAATAAATAAATGACATTCCAGAGAGTCAATTGTTCGAGCTGTTCATCCGTGCAGAGGACAAAGGAGCCACCACTCATCATGCTGACGTACCCCTCAGCATTTACATAATGAAGTCCCAAGATATACCGCCTCTTTTCGAGCGCAAAGAGGACAAATTTTTCATATCCGAAGCGTCCGCTGTCGGTACTCCGATAACAAGACTGAAGACCGTAACAAACAGCACGGTTACCTATAGGATAGTTTCCGGGGACGAGGATTCACCCCTTTTCATGGTCGATCCTCGCGGTCAAGTTACATTGGTGAAACCGTTAGATCGAGAGTCAAAGGATAACCATCTGATCGGAGTTCTTGCTGAAACAGATTCGAGCCCTCCCTTAACGGCCCTCGCCGAGATTACTCTGCAGGTGTTGGATGAAAACGATCACGCCCCTAAATTCGAAAGCAACCCTTACGGTATCATCCTGGCAGAAAATATCGAAGAGGGAACGTCGATTTTAAAGATCATCGCTCACGATGACGATTTGGGAAGCAACGGGGAGGTGCGATATTCGTTCGGCACGGATATAGGTGAATTGGCGAATGTCTTTACCGTGGATGCCTACACAGGATGGATATCTACGCTGGTTCAACTGGACAAGGAAAAACAGCCAGAGTATAAGTTCCAGGTAAATCAAATTATTTTACGATCGCCAAAGTTTTAGACGTTCCAGATTAACAACGATTCGAGAGTGCAAACGAGATTAACAGAATTTTTTGCCACAGGTGGTCGCAACGGATAACGGAAATCCGAAACACTTCGCTAGGACTTCCGTGCACGTTAAACTAAAGGATTACAACGATAATCCTCCCGCGTTCGTGGACGACCGTTACGAGGCTGCGGTGAACGAAGACGCTCTGCCGGGCACAGTGGTAGTCAAGTTGATCACCGTGGACAAGGATTCCGACGTAAACACACCGATAGAGTTCTACATAACATCCGGCGACTCGAGATCGCAGTTTCAGATTAGATCAACCGGCGAGGTGTACGTAGCGAAAGCTCTCGACCGGGAGACGGTCGATCGTTACGAGCTGGAAATAGTCGGCACCGATGGCAAATACGTCTTCAAGACGCGAGTAACGGTGCAAGTGTTGGACGTGAACGACAATCCACCGTATTGCCTGAGATATCGTTACAGGGAGATCCTGTCGGAAGGTTCGCATCCAGGCACATACGTGCTGACCGTGTTGGCGACCGACTACGACGACGAACCGAACGCCAAGCTGCGTTTCTATCTGACCGGCGATAACAACGACAAATTCTCTCTGGACAAGGAGACCGGCGTTCTGAAAACGGTCGGCCAGCTGGACCGAGAGTCTCAGGCGAAATACTCGCTCACCGCTCACGTGCAGGACAGGGACAAGCCATCCTGGGAATGCTCCTCTCAGCTAGAAATCCTGATTTCCGATCTGAACGATAACCCGCCGAAATTCACTATGCAGACGTACAGCGCCACGCTGCCGGAGGACGTTGAAGTCGGCACTTTGGTGACCAAGGTACACGCCACGGACGATGACATCGGCATTAATCGAAAGATCAGATACGAGTTCATCGATTCTGCCGACGGCCAGTTCCTCATCGCCGCGGACAGCGGCATCGTAACCCTCGGCAAGTCGTTGGACAGAGAGACCAAAGCGATGTACAACGTGACCATACAGGCGCTGGATCAAGGCACTCCTCAGCTGACCAGCGTGACTTCGCTGATCGTGAACGTGCAAGATATCAATGACAATCCGCCGGAATTCGCGTCGAAGGTTTACTTCTCGAAGGTGCCTGAGATCTACGCGGTTGGCACGGAAGTGGCCAGGGTCCTTGCTACCTCGAAAGATACCGGGGTCAATGCCGATGTCTATTACTCGATCGTGGGAGGAAACGAGCATAAGAAGTTCCAGATAGACGCGCGATCCGGCGTCATCACGATCGCGGAACAACTCGACTACGAACGTGCCCGCGACTATTTCCTGACTATTCAAGCTATCGATGGTGGTATACCACCGTTGAGCAATCATGCCACCGTCAACATCACCGTGATAGACAGCAACGACAATGCGCCCATTTTCAGCGAGGTTTCGTACAGGGCTTCCGTGAGGGAGGACGCGAAGATCGGAGAAAAGGTCACGCAGGTCAGTGAATCTTTTAAATATTTTTCATTCATAATATCTTTTTATCTTATCGTGAATTTGTAACTTTCACAATTAATGTTGCAGGTGTTCGCAAACGATCTGGACAGCGAGGAGAACGGAAATGTATCGTACTATATAGAAAGAGGTGACAGACAGAAGCAGTTTTCGATCGATCAGAAAACGGGACAAATAACCGTCGCTGCCCCGTTAGATCGAGAGGAGGTTAGTATAAATAATAAATGAAATTGCGGTGCGCTCAAACAAGATCGTAACAGAGTTTCGTCTCGTATTTCAGATTGCCAGCTACGTGTTAGAAATTCACGCTCGCGACAGTGGCGTGCCGATGCTCTCCAGTTTCGTGATGGTAAACATCGAGGTCCTCGATGCAAATGACAATCCACCGCTGTTCTCACTTTCGAATTACACCGCGGTGGTGCAAGAGGATAAGCCCCTGGGTCACACGGTGCTACAGTTCGTGGTCACCGATGCGGATATCGAGCCGAACGCCGACCCGTACACTTTCGACTTCCGGTCCGGGAACGAGGGCGACGCTTTCAGATTGGAACAGGATGGTACACTGCGAACAGCGACAAAGTTCAACAACCGAGTGAAAGACAAATACGTGTTGCATATACGCGTATTCGACAACGGAAGTCCGCCTCTCTACTCGGACGCATGGGTCGTAATCAAGGTGATCGAGGAGTCGCAGTACCCTCCGGTGATCACCCCGCTGGAGGTGGTTATTAACTCCTACATGGACGAGTATCCTGGTGGTATAATCGGAAAAGTTCACGCGACGGATCAAGATCAATACGACACGTTGTTATACAGTTTGGTACCACCATCTCCGATACCGAACGACCTGTTCCAAATAGACAAAATCGACGGCACCCTCGTGGCGCTCCCGCGACTCGACGTTGGCGAGTATAGGATAAACGTCAGCGTAACCGACGGCAAATTTCATTCTTATTCTCTTATCAAGGTGAACGTAGATCTAATAACCGAGAAGATGCTGGAGAACTCCGTTATCGTCCGATTCAGAGAGGTCAGTCCGGAGGACTTCATCCTGAGCCACCGCAAAGGATTCATCAGGACCGTGCGTAACGCTATGAACTGCCGGCCGAAGGATATCGTGATCATCAGCGTTCAATCATCCACCGACGAATCGAACTTGATCAAATCTCGAGCCATTCGTCAAGCCGTGCACAACGATCTTGACCTATTGTTCGCGGTGAAAAAGAGCGGAGCTTCTCTGGCTTCGCCCACCTTCTACGCCTCGGAGAGCATACGAGAGGCTTTGAATCAAAGGATCGAGGAACTCGAAGAATCGACTAAGCTGGTTGTCGAGGAGATCGTCAGGCTCAAGTGCAATAAAGGCTACTGCGTTTACGGAGACTGTCAGGATAGGATCGTGCTCGACCTGACGCAAATAACACCCGTGGCTACTGACGTGATGAGCTTCGTATCGCCACGACACAAGCACAAGATGGAGTGCAGTTGCAAGGAGGGTTACGCCGGTAACCACTGCGAGATGGTCGTCAACGAGTGTGCCAGAGACCCGTGTCCACTGTTCAAGGTGTGCGTGCCCGACTCGTCGGTTCAGGGATATTCGTGTCAGTGTCCCGAAGGGTTCGCAGGTCAAACCTGTGACATAGATATCTCTAAATGTCACGACGAGTCGTGTTACATACCTCGAAATCCGATATCCTTCAGTGGGAAGAGTTACGCTCGTTACAGGATCGATAAAGCACAGATCAGACAAACGATCGAAGATCGTCTGACCTTGTCCCTGAGAATCAGAACGGTCCAGCTGACCGGGAACCTGATGTACGCTGCGGGCAAAGTCGACTACAACATTCTGGAGGTCGTGAATGGAGTTGTTCAATACAAATTCGATCTGGGTAGCGGAGAGGGTCTGGTCCGAGTGAGCAGCATGTACGTGAGCGACGGACAGTGGCACGAGATCCAGCTAGAACGGGAGAGCAACAGCGCCAGATTGACCGTCGACGGGAAACACCTGGCTCATGGTTCAGCCCCTGGCATCAACGATATCTTAAACCTTCAATCGGACGATCTGTACTTGGGCGCTGAAGTCAGACAACATCCCTCTATTCTCGGCTTCGAGGACGTTCAACGCGGTTTCATTGGCTGCATGGACGACGTCAGAATTGCCAGGGTGTCCGTGCCTCTGCACATGAGCGGTGCCAGCAGCGTGGCTATCCTGAAACGCTTCGCGAACGTCGAGTTCAGCTGCGACGCCGCCACGGTCCTCGTTCCTCCAGGAATCTGCGGTTCGCAGCCCTGTCAAAACGGCGGCACCTGCAAGGACTCCGGAGGCGACACTTATGAGTGTCAATGTCACAGCAGATTCGCGGGTCTCGCCTGCGAGATAGACACCGATCCCTGTGCCTCCTCGCCCTGTCTTTACGGTGGTCGCTGCAAGATAGTGCCCGAAGGAGGCGACTTCAGTTGCGAATGCGTCGGTCCTAGCCTCAGCGGGAAACGTTGCGAGTTCGGAAGGTACTGCAGTCCAAACCCGTGCATCCACGGTGGCGTGTGCGAAGAGGGCAACAACGGACCGATCTGCAAATGCCAGGGATTTATGGGAGAACGTTGCGAGACGGATGTGAACGAGTGCGACACCAGTCCGTGTACCAATGGCGGCACCTGCGTGAACGAGATCGGCACGTACAGGTGCGTCTGCCCTCCGAATATGACTGGTTTGAACTGCGGCAACCCTGCGTACTCCACACCAATTATATCGAATCACTTCAACATCACCTGGGAGCAATTGATGTGGATCGGCGTCGCGGTGGTCTTGATAGTCATCCTTATCATCGTGTTCCACGCGTTCCGGCGCATCAAGATGAAACGCAACAGGGCTCGTGCCAACAACATCAACAACGAGACCAGGAAGCAGATAGTTCTTAATTCGGCGAGACCTCACGAGCATGAATTCAAGCGCAGCTCGAAACTGAGTAATCTGGAAGTGATACAGGTATTTGCTTAATCACTACGAGTGTACTTTGATTTGCCAGCACTAAAGAAAGAACCGCATGCTTATCATAATTATTTTATTATACGCCAGTGGTAGACGATTTTTTAGTACACCGTTATATCGCGTGCCGTTTTTTTCCTTGGTTTGCGATCATCGAACAGTCGATATTCCTCCCTTATCCTTCGAGTGACGCGTGCGTTGAGTTTAAGGTTTTTCGTGTGATTCTTCTTTTACAGAGAGAACCTCCCCAATGCCCCCCCAGACCCGCCTCCTACACTCCTAGCTCGAACAACGAGCCGGCACCGTACAGCAACTCGGCGGCTGTAGCACTGAATAATTTAGACACGTTGCGAAGCTACGGTAGCGCCGGTGACGAGTTGGAAAATTTCCCGCCAGATTATTTAAGAAATCTGAATCGCACCACTCCCGTACCACCTCCGTCCTTAACCCTCGCTAACCCGGTCGGCGGAAACGCTACAGGCAGCGACACGGATAGTCTCCATAAGCCGACCTGGCAAGAACAGATGCAACTAGCCTCCTTCATCACGGACACGACCAAGATAAAGAATGGTGAGTAGTATGCGTCGCTGATTCCCCGATTCACATCGTAGCTTCTTACTTTTGTTTTACGCTTACCGCATGCATCGTGGGTGGATTTAGCTTTCGTCCTTTCTTTTTACTACTTCAGTTTCCTTGGTTCCGTTTTCCTCTGTTCACCTTTGTTCTTCTTTCTCTCTTGCATTTCTCCGTTTTCTTGTCTCTTTCGAGAGAGGCGAACGTCGTTCGTCCTTGAATTATGTTCTTCCATTCTCGTCCTTCTCCTATTTTTAATACGAGTATGCTGACTTGGGCGTGTAGCGAATCGAATTAACATTGGTGTATCGTATTGTGTGCGCTAACAGACCTGAAACGAGCGAGCCCAGTGGTACCAGAGCTGACCACTGGAGGACTTCTACTAAATTCTTCTCGACGTGTGCCTCATGGAGGTGGGACCTCCGTTACCTCCATGACGTCCATCGAGGATGATCCTCGTATTGTCGGTGGTAAGTCCGAGATAGTGTATGCCTGAACGAAACGATACGTATTACAAATAAATATACATATTTTGGGACGCTTCGCTTGCCGCTATCCCCCCTATCTCTATCTATCAGTCTTTTTTTTACCCTTCACCATTTACACCGCTTCTCTCTTCAACTCCGCATCGCGACGCCAAATCGTCGCAGGTTGCGTGTCGGAGTACAGTTGTTGTCTGCAATGCTTTTAGGGTATCACTGGGACTGTTCAGACTGGGTCAGGCCAAGTCAAAACCCCTTGCCTAATATCACGGAGGTACCTGGAAGCGAAGTACCAGACTCGTCCAGCTTCCACAGCAACGAGAGTAACGAATCAAACACTCATCAGTTACCGTCAGGTGAGTACAACGACCGCATGCGAAATATACAAGACACTAAAACAAACAGAAAATATACAGACTTCTTATCGATAAGACGCTTCAACATTTTGCATGCGTTAGTAGGGAAAGGTTTTCTTAATTCAATCACTTCTGCAACTTAACATTACATAGGCAGTTTGCGTTTTATTTTAAAAATTTCTTACAAGGGAAGCGCTTCTTTATAAAATAAAAACTTCGCGTTCAAAGTTGAACTAACAATTTATAATAGCTTGGTTCTAGGCTATTATGGGTCCTAGCATCAAATTTGAATTTTCCGAGTGTATAAAATTTCTGACTGACTAAATTAAATTTGTTGCGAGACTGTGAATGACGCGGTGGTGTTTCGTTTCAGTGCACGGCTCTGTAGATCCAGCGAGGGACATCGAAACCCTGAATGAAGACCAGGAATCAGAATACGTCGGTGATTCGGAATGCGGGACCGAATTTTCTGAACAGTATCAGTGCGCTGAAACGCAGCGGCTGAACCCTCTCGACAGCGGTGGCGAGGGTGAATACAAATACAAAGGTTCCGAAAGTTACCTCCGTCATCCAAACTCATACCTGCCGCATTACAATATTCACACGGACACGGAGAACGAAACGAATCCGTTGAACGGACGTCTTAGCACTCTAGAATCCGACGAGGAGGAAGACGATGTAGTGCCTTATGGTTTCCCAAGCAGCCGACGCAATCGATGCCACAAGGGGGACGAAGCGGACGAGATCGGTTCGGTGATCACCACCCTTGAAGAGAGGAATTCTTTGTTGGGCGGTGCGACCAGCAACAGCGATTTGTCCACCAATCTGTGCGAGATAGACGATTCGGAATACGAGATCGCCGATCAGAAGAGCAACGGCCGGCTGTGGTTGTCGGGGAACGGTATCACGCAGACCTCGGTGTGACAAAGAGTGGTGCCACTACTTCAATACAGACTGAACGTGATGATGATCGTGTTTTTCTGTGCTTCTTGAGAGTGTCAGACAGTGCGAATGTTTTGTGAGTAACACAAGGAATTCACCTTTTTTGTACATACGTATATATATATTATTATCGACCGCGACAGAGAGAGAGAGAGAAGATATGAATGTGTACAGAGGCAGCTATGAAATATAAGAAAAAGATAACGCTCGAGATAGCTAAACGGTATGGGAATTTTGTGTATGAGAGCTAGCGTGCTCGACAGTGTACAAAGGAAGCCTGTGTTGCACCAAAGCGTACAATGTCGGGTAGTCTAGCCTTACTTCGGGAGAAAAACGGTGGAGGGAAACGAGGATTCGCCATCTGTCTTAATACTCGCGAGTTATCTAGCGTTTTGCTTAGGAATCGAGCTTACCACCAATTTTGTGAATTAATTCTGAAATAAGGGGGATGGTGGAATCTTTGTTTCCCTTACATCGCCGGTTTTTCTGAAGCTTACCGTACTCGGTACTGTATTGTGAGCCAACGATGCTTGGCATCGTACCTCAAAATCTCCTATGTAGGTAGAGCTTAGGTACTAACGTACTTAATTCTGCGATCCTCGAAAGAATCATATTGGACCCGACGGGTGAAAATCAACGTGCATACACATATTTGGGAGCAATTCTTACTTTCTGTTTTTATCGTACGCCATTTTTTTTCTTTTTTAATTATACAATCGTGCATTGTATTTTGTGCGAACGAGAAATTTGTTTGATAGACGTTAAATTTCGACAGTTTTTATGCTGCGTGGACCATTCAGAGTTTCGTGATTGTTTCTTGATTCAAAAACATCGTTATAATTCTACCAAAGGGGATGAGGTTTAGTTAAAAGAATAAAAGGATATATAGATATATATATGTATATGTATAAAATTAAAAAGGACTATACAAGGTGTTACAAAAAATATGTACAGCGTGAAAATTGCAAAAGCTCATTGCCATTTTAATCTCTGACATTTTAGAAACAAAACTACAAGTCACAAAGTGGTAAAGGATTTTTTTTTCGATAAGAAGAATTCGCAATTTTCACGTTGTAAATTCTTTTTTGAGACACCCTGTATGTATACATATATATTACAACAGTTATATGCAACTATTACAAGTAAGAAAATGATCTTGATTAAGGATAAAAATTTGTTACTCGAGAAAGGTAAATTTAATCACGACCGCGTTGTCAGACCAATGATTATTATTTATTGACTTATCGTTTAAACAGTTAAACATTATCCGCAACTATGATTCCACTGCAACAAAACAAAATGAAAAGAAAAAAAGAATGGTACGTATAGGTACATTTATGTATTTTTACTATATTTGCTAACCGACTTTATTTTGGTTACATACGAAATCAACAGACGGACTACTTAATAATAATAGATCATAAGTATCGCATAGTTTAGCGAGTAAATGAATTGACTCTAGTGAAGAAGAGGAAGAAAATGAAGAAGCGAAAAAAATAAAAGAACAGTGCTCTGCTTCTAGGGCGAATATATGTGCATGTTTGCTGGCGTTTACTGCAGCGACAAAGCACGATAGTTAAAAAAAAAAGATATGAAATATTTTTACTGTGATGATAATAATGTTTATACAATGATCAAATACTATGAACTGTACGATAATGATTGTAATATTAACTATCCAATTTTTTTTTTTTTTTTTTTTTTAAAGGAAAAAGAAATTAAGGGATGGCGGAAGATAGTATTTCCATTTCCGCGTGTATGTATGCTAAGTCAACGTTCCGTTCGTTCAAAGCTCCTTTTCTTATTTGTTCTTATCATTCTTTACTTTAAACTTCTCCTTTCATTTGGTCACCGTCATCAGTTCAACAGACATATAATTGCATACATGGTGCTACTACTATTTACATCACGCTTTAACATTTTTAATCTACTCGATAAGACTGCTCGGCAATGTGGATTGTACGCAACTCATCATCATCAATGCTCTTCATCAACTACTCATCTCACGCTATTTCTTTCGATGATAATGTCCAAGTAACTTTAAATCGTTTCTTAAACTGCCGATTAATTTTTAATGCCATACAAACGAATGCAGGAATAACCGATTAGTGGTTGCAGACTACTCGCTCAAGATCTACATTGTGTCTTCATTCTTTCAGTCAACTTCCTAGTCCACTAGTATCTGCGGTCCATATCTGTCCATTTCCTAAATTTTCAAACCACCAAATTTTTAAGTGTGTAAGTGTATAAATTCCTAAATTTCCGATATAACCATTAACCGGCTATTACTGTATCTCCCTTGATTATTAATTTGTGTAGCTACGTATAAAACACGAAAAGATCAAGGGGTTGTTATTTCTGTGCCTAATATCTTTTAAACACTGAGTACTTCCGAATGAGAGACATTTTGTTGAACGAATAATCTAGTGGCAGCTTAAATTGGGAGAGGTGTACAGGTTTTTTCTTTTATATAAACATAGAGTTTTTTTTTTGGCAAATTCACTGTTTATGTTCCTGTTCTGTAAAGGATGCTAGCCATCTTACTCTTATATTTAGTGGGATACAGACGAGTAAGCCGCACTTTTAAAGTAATAACGCGAAACAGGGTGACTTCTTTTGTGTTGACCGAGAGAAAAAGAAGAAATTATCGCCTCTTTTTTCTGTTTTAATAATGTAAGTTTCGTAAACAGCTGTGCCTCCCCTCTCTGAAATTTCAATGCGACACTCAAGCGGATACAATTGAACCTAGACAATTTATTCTATATTAGAATGAAATAAAAATATTGTACAGTTTTAACTTAAACGAATTGTATCAGGAATAACATCGATGGCAATGATAATTTCAGTTTGCGTCGAAGCACAGCGAACACTTTAATCGTTAAGATTTAATTTTAATCATTTTCTTGCGAGTCGATCACAAGAACATATATTGGTTCAAGACTGTTGGAACGATGCGAATATAACGATCCGTTTTTATAAATATTGTATTAATCAATTCGTAATCATGTCAATGTCGTCAAATGTTTGGTTGTAACGAGAACGAGCAATGTTTTTTATAAAGCTTCCGAACGATTAGCAATATTAAGTTTTGAACGATACATTCTTGTAATTAGTATTTAATGATTTAGTCTGATTAACAAACTTAACAATCGGAATTGATCGGGAGAACACGTATTTCGTTTGCGTGACTTTACTTTCTATTTTCTCTTAATTTTCTGATCTACTTATCGTCAATCTTTTTGTACTTGGTTAATAACTTACAAACTAATAAATAGTTCCACTTATTTCTTATTTTATAATAACTTGCCATAATCACGCAAAGACGAGAAGGTAGAAAAATGAAACAGGAAAAAAAGATGTGGGTACAACTTCCAAATTTGTTACAACTTTTAGCCCCGCTAATAGGATACATATCGATATCATGAACTCCTTCAAACAATGAGGAATCTTGACTTGTTATAATTAGAAGGCTATAATTAATTTGTACAAGATCAACCTATTGTAATAAAGAACACAATCTTGCCTACATCTTGTATTACTATATTGATTTAAAAGTTAACCTAATATATTTTCTCAACGTCTTCTTTCTTATAAATAAATTTCGATTATCATTAATAAAGCAATAAATGACGTACCATATAAATATAATATTGTTTATTTCGTTTCTGGTAACATCAATTCTTTTCTACAAAATAATTTTTATGAATAAAAAATGCTTTACAATTAAGAACCTATATTATTTGAAAAATATGTATGTACAGCATTGAAATGAACTTTACTGGAACGCGTTAAAATAAAAATTAATATTTTTGTAATGCTTCAGTTAATAATTCGTTCATGGTAGACACAACTACTCGTGGATTATCAATTAAACCAGCTTCAACCATGCTATTAGTGAACAACTGAAATTCAAAAACAAAATTAAATAGATATACAATCTTTCAAATTTTAGAATTTTGATTTTATAATTCGAAACTCCGTATCGAATTCAGACAGTCGTAAATTACAATCTTTTTTTTTAAATATCAACGTACCTGTTTTATGAGAAGGTCGGCTAACGTAGAGTTCGTACTTGTTAAACCACAAAGTTTTTTAATAATAGGATGATTCGGATTTATTTCAAAAGATGGTCTAAGCATGGTATATAACGCGTCATCTTTCATCTGACGGAGTTGTATACGAGTGAAATGTCTTGCGCTCGCTAAATTTTGAACCGTAATTACACACGGATGTGATTCCAGCCGATTAGTTATTTTAATGTCATGTGCTTTTCCTGATAAGACTTGTTTCATATAGGATATGAGGTTATCAATTTCACCTTGATTAATAATACCTATGAAAAGTTCAAAACAATTAATTTATACTATAAAACATATATTACGATATTTTTAAACACTTACTAGGACTGTCAGATTTACTTGAATCTGCTTCACGAATCTCTTCTTCAATAGAAATTAATTGATGAGATTTATATTGTCTCAAGTGCAAGAAAATTACATCATCATGCGGTTCGTAACAAAATAATACTTCGGTATTACGTTTTTTCAAGGATTCATAATATGGCGATTGTTCAGCCAAGGACCGGCTAAAATTATGAAATACAAATATTTTACCTGCTGTTTTTAATTCCTTATACGCAAAAAAGTGAATCGGTTTTTACCTTGGCGCTACAAGGTAATATATCTTTTTCTGATCTGAAGGCATCCGTTTAGTATAATCTTCGAGACTAATTACCTCATCCGGAGCACTAGCTGATGACTCAAAACGCAAGAGTTTCGCTATTTCTTCCTGTAATAAACAAAGCGATCACTGAAACTATGAATCATATATTATAATTATTTTAAAAAATTACCTTATCTTTTTGGTCTTCGGTACTTATGATGCCTTCTTTCAAGAAAATGCTATGATCCTTATAAAATTTATAATACTCTTCAAATTGTTTCTGAGATTTTTCGTGCAAGAATTTTAAGACACGCGTTGTCAAAACACTTCTTAATTTTCTGAAATTTTTAAACATTAAAGTTATAGCAATTATTGAAAAGGTATATTAAACCGTAAGTTATATTCCATTTCTTACCCAATCAAAGTGCTGTTCTGTAATAATTCTCGACTCAAGTTAAGAGGAATGTCTTCGGAGTCCACAACGCCTTTAATGAAACGCATCCATTTCGGTAAAATATTTTCTGCCTTGTTCTTGATTAAAATTTTACGGCTGTATAAAGCAATGCCGCTTGTATCGTTTTTGACGAAATCGTATAGTGGGGGTTTTTCTTCCGGAATATATAATAATGCTCTAATATTAAGTGGAGCATCGGTCGTATAATGCAGTACGAATCGCGGGCTATCTAAACAGTTTGCGATAAACCTATAGAATTCTTGATGTTGCATCTGCGTAATATCTTTCGGATCGAGCGTCCATAATGGCTAAAAATGGTAAGTTACGTTAATATTTACATATATTGATAGAAACAACAATGTAAGTATAAAAATTTTACCTGTATGGTATTAACTCTTTTACCATTTAAATATATAGGGCTACCAATAAAGTTGCTGTACTTGGTGATAAGACCTTTAGACATACAACATTATCAGAAATGAATAATTTAGTTAATTTAATTAACAACCACAGATGTACTTACGATCAACCGTGGTATCATCGCTAAATTCTCGGCAGTCAACTTTCAAATGTATAACAATTTTTGTGCCTGGTTGAACTCCCTCAGCTTTTGAGATTTTAAAAGTGCTTGAACTGAATGGAAAAAGGTGTTTGATGTACTGAAGAATAAAATTAATATTTGCAAGATATAAATTAGTTACCCATCAGACATCCAGCAGAGACCTTCAGCATCTTCTGCATATGATTTAGTAAATACTTCTACTTTATCAGCAACCATAAAAGTGCTGTAGAAACCAACACCAAATTGTCCAATAATTTGAGATGCATCACCAGCATCTTGCTTCTCTTTCAATTTTTCTAAGAATGCCTGTGTTCAAAACATTATATATTAAATTGGAACAGAGTACAATAGAATTTCTATTTCACTTACCCTAGATCCTGATCGAGCTATTGTTCCCAAGTTGGATACCAATTCTTCTCTAGTCATACCAATCCCTGTATCCTGAATTGTAAGAATTCTGTTTTGTTTATCAGTACCAATGTGAATTTCCAAGCTTCTATCACCGAGAACTTCTGCTGCCTGGTTATCTGTTAACCTCATATACCGTAGTTTTTCCAGAGCATCACTTGCATTGGAGATCAATTCACGAAGAAATACCTTACAATCAGAAATGTTATATTACTGAAAATACATAAGAAATATTACCAGAAAGAACATAAGACTGCTGAATAATGATACCTCTTTCTCTGAATACAGGGACTTTGCAACAATTTGCAATAGCATTTGTGTTTCTGATTGAAATTCATGTTTATCACCTTCGCCTAAAAAGGAAGGACAATATTATACAAAGTATATATTTATAAAAATATACATATAAATAAATCTGTCAAAAATACCTGTAACTTTCTCTGTATCTTTTATGATATTGTGGTTTTCTGTTGTCTGTGTTGCTGCTTGGGATGATAAGCATCGCACTGATCTCCCTGTTATAGCTATATAATAATTAACTATTAGGATTATTCAAACATAAGAGCAGATACTAAGAAATATGAGCATCAATAGAAAATAGTAACAAGAGACACGCTTAAATTTAACCTCAAACTTAGCTCAGTTAAGGAAAATGAAAGAAAGTACAATTAATACAACATGCAAATATACAAACCAGGAAATTGGAAACATTGTTTCTCCAAAATCTTCCTCTCCAAGTGCCGACTCAACGGCCTTGAAAGAGTTTTTCCGAATTTAATTGCGAGTCTCAGTCTTAATGCGGTGGCCATGCTTTCGAAACTACCAGAAGTGCGATTGCACCATCTGTTAGTAAAACAGTTGCAACACGTTCTTTATTTTTGTGTAATGTGATTATGAATTGTATTATATTAAATTTTAAATTGTAACTTCTGTATCTCCTCTTTAATACATCTATTTATAGCAATTTGTATCGTGAAATTTAAAATATTGGTGGGGCACAAAATTATAAATTTATTTTAATCGCTGTTGAATCTGTACTTTATACAAATCGTCTGTACTCAATAAAATTAATTATTTAAAATGAAGCGATTTTTATTGACTCTTTTGCTATTTGCCATTATATGGAAGTAGTGATTCTATTTTTAATACAATGTATGGCCATATAATTAGATGGTGATATAACATGTGGTATGTGTAGTAATATAATATATATAAAGTGCCTATGGAATTTTAATTAGGAGCGCAAATTTTAGGAGGAAATTTTCGACGGAAGGAAGGGTTGTATTCTATACCACATTTATTGATCAAGGAAACTGATGGAGTAATAGATTAGATCAAGTTGAAAGGAATGAAACAAAGTTATGGCATATAAATTTGTTTATTATTATTATCTGTATAATATATTTGAAACAATATCATTCTACAACATTGCATAAAAATATACAAAGACATGACAAAATGTCTTGACTCTCGTTTGATAAAACATGTTTATGAATAATTTGATCAGCGTTGCACCGCTATCAGTTCTAACTGAATTCATTCATTTAATAGGTCACTTTCAAATTACATCGATTTAAACCGACATTTACTTTTATTTTCTCTCTATCTTCATTTTTCTTTTTTTTTCTTCTTTTTCAATGTCTCCGCACGAAGGATTCATCGATGAATCCTGGACAAAATGAAATAGTTATTTGCGTTTTATTTGTTATAGAGTACCCGTTCGCACACATCGACTTTCATTGTACAATAAAAATTTCAATTTTTCATGTTCTGATAAACATGCTTACCGACATTTATTTAAAAAAAAGAACTGTCCGATTCGCGAAATCGATATTCGTGCGAACAGGACTTATAGCGATACGAACGACTATCCTGTTTGTGTTCTTTCTCGTGCGATTATAGAACAAGGAATACGGAAAAAGAAAAAGGAACGTTCATTTTTTAAATAATACGTTTTAACGCATCCTCGAAGTCAGAAAAGGTTTACAAATGAAAAACAATAGAAAAGAATCGAAAAGACGCGCTTTGTCGTATCAAGATGCGCGGTACAGTTAACGGAACTCACGATAACCGGAAACGAGGCGTAACCGTGGACGAAGAATTCACTTCGAGTGTGTCATAAACATGTTTAGAGAGTACATAGGCCAGAAATAAAAAGTAAAAAGGAACGAAGAAAATTAAAAAGTAGATGAATAAGAAAAAACGACGAAGTATAGAATTCGTTTATGAACGTGTCAACGGAAACGGTGCTCATCTTTCATTCTTTTAACCGTTTCTGGTCTGTTTTGAGAAAAATCGAAATCGGCCCAGATTTAGCAACACTCTCATCCGAACGCATTTACTATCTTCCTTTTGAGATCATTGGCCGAAGGATAACAATGACAATTATAATATTAATAATGACAATAATAATAAGTAATAATTAAAAGTAATAATAATATGACAATAATAATAATATAATAATTATTATAATAATATAATAATAGTTACTTAAAAATAAAATAATAATAATAGTTAATAATAATAGTAATAAAAATAATTATCCGTAAACTATCCTTTACCAAGGGGAGATATTACCCATTAGCTTATGTACATAATCTGTGTGTATGATTTTTCTCGTTTCTCTTCCTCCGTTCTCCGCGTTTAAATTACGAATTATTACACTAATTTACTATCGAATCTTCTTCGATCAGCAAACATAAATAATTATAACGCATCACTGTTCTCTTACTTTTCTTTCTTTCTTTCTTTCCATCCTTTCACGTTTTGTTCGTTTATTTACAAGCATTATTTCCCTCGCTACTCGATGATGCAACCATCGCGCGTCTGTCTCTCCCTCTCTCTTCTCTTCTATTTCTTTATTTTCATCGTTTCTTTTACTATTACATTATTGCAGACGAGGCAGCAGTGTAAAGTTCGCGGCACGGATCATCGACAATCGAATTCGCATTGGGATCCTCGGGATTATGCGTTCGGTGTTCGAATTTCGCGGGATGATCATGCGCCTCCTAAAACGTTACGCTCTAAAAACTCATCTCGTTGGGCAGCTTTTTCTCTATCGTTTTCATCGTTACAGCATTAACAATAATATATATGTATATCACAATCGTTTTGAGAACAATAGCGTGAAGAGAGTATTGATTTTGGCGTTGATGGATCAGCGGCAGAAGCACGCGTCATCCCTTACGAGTTACACCCTCTTCCGTTTCTTCCCTTCTTCTCAGTCGCAAGTAGGACCACAACATTTAGAAATCCACAAACTTTTACATTTAAAAGCCAAGAGATTTCGAAAATTTTCAAAGAAATTCACTTCCCAACCTCCGAATGTAAAAGTTTGAAAATATTCAAGTTTAATCATTCCCCGAGTCGAAGATAGGTTTATCTCCGTACTTAAACGAAACCTACATTGCACCCGACCTTAACATAAATTTCACCCCTTAACTGATAACCTGCTTACGACTACCCTTATTCTCAGTTCGCAACGAACGTGTTAACTAAAATCGTTCCACGATTTATTACATTTTTTAAAGATTGTCACCAATGCACACCCGTTACGTACTGTGACGGGCCATACCCTATGACCCGTTCGATTTCTCGCCAAGAAGAGAGAGAAACGGCTTTCCTTTGCATTCTTCGTCCCCTCTTGCGTTCGCCGATTATCCGTCAGCCACAAAAATTACAGTCACGTGCTTCGCTCGCTTTCTCTTTGTCTCTATCTAACCACCTTTCTGCCGCCCTTTCAACTACACTGCGCTATTTACAATGACGAAGGGAAAAAGAAACCTATCGGCCGCGACTCCGAGCGGTCGTCGTTGTCGTCGTGGTCGATCGACCGAGAATTTATACCTCGTTCAACGAAAGCTTGTCGCTCGTTGTAAATACTGATCCCACGTGTGCTGTTTCGTACGGACGAGATTTATCGTCCTACGAAATCGATCAATTATGCATGGTCGTTTTTGAGGAAAAGAAACGACGATCGAGAGAACGCGATAGAATTTATCGATCTAATTATTATGGTTTGCTTTTAATATATTCTTCGAAGGAAGGTTTCATAATTGAAAGATAAAGAATTGCTACAAACTGTATTGGCGTAAATGGATGGGGTCCACTGTGGATTCGATTCCTCCAAAACTTTCTCGTGTCATAAATTAGTGGTAAGCACAGAACTAGCTCGATAGACTTCCCTAGGGATAGGTGTGATATAGGGAACCTTTCCCAATGTGGGAGATTGAGAATTTGAAAACTTAGAAGTTTGTAATTTAAGAAATTTCAAGAATTCTGAAAATTTAGAAAATCTGCAAATTGTTAAATTTTTAATAGTCACCCGACTCCTATCATCTCACTTCCCTAGAAAAGTCTGTGATGCTCCATAATTTCTTAGGTCCTCATTTTTACGCCAATTTAGCCAAAATTAGTCAAAATATAAATTTGATCAGAATTTGAAATACAAGAAACCGACCTTCGAAGGTGATTCGCGACGTTACAGCGAGGTCGATATTTTTTATCGATTCGATATTCGACGACCTCGACGATGTTTTCGTATTCTTGTATAGAGAGGATAAGTAGAAAATCATCTAGTCGACGCTCTACGCAAGGCAAGCGAGTATAAAACAAATTGGATACAAGAACCACAGTTTTTTTAGTTTCCACGCAGCAAATTTTTCATTTTTATTCTCCGTCGATTAAGAACTTAGTAGAAGAGATCTCTGGTTGACCTTTGCGAAGGATATTACTATTCCAGACAAACAAGCGTTTAATCAAAATATCTCTTTTCGACATAAAAAATCTGTAAGAACGTTTTGCGTGATAATCCACTAGATATTTCCGGAAGTTTGTTTTGTTCGATCGATCTTTTTATTCGAGTCAAATAATGTTTACGACAAGATGAAAAAAAAATGAACCGACGCACAATTGTCACGTGTCTCGTATCGCAAAGGTCAGCTAATTGGTAGTTTCATAACGGATTTTCATTCGCACAATCGTGTGTACATCGGAGCATTGTCGCGTGGCGAGTCGATGTCGGCCAGTGGATCGTCTGCGTTTGCGCGCTCGATCGATCAAATTCTACCTCGAAACCTGCCGATCCTACAGAATTCTACTTCCCTACTTCTTTACAGAAGGATCACCTGACAACGAAAGCACGCGCTTGCACGAACGCTAAATGATCGATATTCGCGGAAGGAGTCTCCATCGAAACTTGTCCATCCATAGGATAGTTCTTCGAACTTTCAGTATTATACTTAAATTACATTATTACAAATTTACGTCGAAATGAATAATCTTTCGAAAATTGTAAATTAGGAAAATCATGAAGGACTCGATGAGGTTCGATACTTTGTGATGCACAAAGGATTCTTTCAAAGTACGATGTGTAAATATGAAGTCATATAGATGAAGTGATTTATTGAAAACCTTGAATTAATCAATTCAGTAGGAGATACCGAAATGTACAGAAGACCAGCATAAAAATTTCGAAAGGTAAATTTGTCAAACTATATTGGAAATATTTTGAAAGTACTCCCGCTGGTAAAATAATCCTTCAAGATGAACGTTTCTGACCGAATGAAGAAATGCATCGTGCAGAATCAGTGAAGATAACATTGATTCGAAACGGTGGCGTCAAAATTCGTCCCGCAATCCGCACGATTGCAACGAAATCGGAGTCCCGTCACGATCGTAATTTCACGAGGAGCCAGGCCGGCGAATTGACATTTTCGGGCTGGGTTCTCTCGTACACCTTCTCGCTTTTTCCTTCTCTCCTCGTAATCCTTATCCCTCATCGCTGCTCCTACTCTCGCTCCTATTTTCAGTCTGCTCTCTCCCTA